CCGCCTACGGTCCCTGCTTGGCACTTGACCTGGATAGGCAGACGTCGTTTGGCCGGAGATATGAACGTCATCTTGGCTCAGTCATACGCATGCCAAGTTGACCCAGAAGCAATTGGGAGGCGAGAGGTCTCCGCGGCTCAACACGATGGCAAGATTAAGTGCCCACGGTTGACTATGGGAAACAGCGAATATTGGGTCACAACGGAAAGAAGCTATTTGTCTCCCAGTAGTGAGTTCGACGAGATACATCTCGTAGAGGGTATCGGTCATTGGTTTCACCAGCTCAAGAGTGAGGAGGTCAATGGGTATATCCAACGCTGGTTTGAAAAGATTGGGCTGATTCCAGTGAAGGGAGACAACGAAAATGTTGAGGCCTAGCATGGGCGGATTTGATATCCATTGTATTATTAAATGTCCGACAGAAACAACTCTACTTGACCAAGACAGCGCAACATCCCATCGACTGTTGAATGACGTCGATACATAAGTACGTATCGTTACTGAGAGGTAAAACTAACCCTATGTTGTTCCTCAATACTCCAAGATATTCCCACCATTCCCTCCCAACGCACCCACCCGAATTACTTCGTTGTTAGAGAAAACTGGAAATCTATGTACCAACGTCATCCAGCCCAGCAGTTATGGGATATCCCCTTCTTCAATTATCTGCTACGCGTGGTCACCAATGGCGTATCTGTAAGCGTGTCGTATGTGATATTTCCCGTTCGTCTAAGTATTCTAGTATATATGCGAGATTCATCAAGAGCGGTTATGCCACTTTGTTTCAAGACATCTTCAACAAAAGGATCGTGAGAAGATCTACAGAACATATGCGAACATGCTATTCTCAATGGCTGAAACGGAAATCCAAGCGCTTATTGCCTTCGTCCTTTGTTGTTTCCAAGTATGCAAGTCTCTGCTCTTCCGACATACCTTCCCAGATCCGGTCACGTCTCTTGTTCCGGTACACATAGTAAGCCTTCACCAATGGGTAAAGAACCAAGTTCATGCAAACAATACCGAGAAGAGACCTATTGCCGCGTTTGTACAGTGGCGCATCGTCTATTTGTAGAGTTAGTAAGTACTTCGACTTCGTGCATGTGCCATACCCAACTGAGAGGCTCACCAGATCGGTAAATGTTGGAAGAAATAATTCCATCCGTCTGTACAAACATGTTGTAACAAGCAGCTGAGACGGTTCTTGACCGAACTGTGTTGGAGTTGCGACTGTTCCATCCGACCTAAATTGGAGTTAGCAATTGCACAGCGATTGAAGCCGACAACAAATCAAATCATTGCGTTTTGTCAGCCGGTATTTGTTGAGCTTACTTGAATAGGGTGAGCTGAAATCCAGTTAGTTTTAAATTATTCGACACAACAAATTTGAATGCACGTATGAAGTAAAGCAACTTACGATTCGGATACATCAGAAGCAACGTGATGACGGAGTAAAGAACCCATCTGTTGACCCCGGATGTGTCGACTACATTAAGGTAGATCAAAAATGGGAGTGCCCACACCTGACCAGACATCGAGACAAAGGTGAGTTCGCCGATGACTTCGCCCAGGTATGTGATTGCCAGCATCGTGACCACTATCGCACGTGTCAGTCTCCCAGATGCAGTGATTTTGAAGATATGTAATATGTCCTTACTGTGACCAACGGTCCACGGAATAGCGAGGAGATTCGCTTGAAAAGTGTCGAAGCCGAGGTTCTTTAACGTCAGGGTGAGGTACTGTGACGGGGGTGTCATGGGAATCTGGAAAGTGAGGCCCAGGATGTACAAGGGCCAGAGATCGTAATCCTTGAGGCTGTCCCAGAGCAACCTTGGCGTGATTGGCTCGCGGTTGTGCATGCTGCTCTTGCTTGGGTCTTCGCGCAGAACTCTGTTGACAAGGATAACTTCCTCTCTGTGTCTTTTGTTAGTTCGTTCTCTGGAAGCACACAGTGCCAGAAAGCACTAGTCAAACTCACCTTTCTGAGAACCAACCCTTCTTCCCGCGAAACCAACTTGCAGTCTGACAAGGGCCAGCTGGCATCAAAAGGAAGCCGAAGATACCAATGACCAGTGTCAACAGCCCTTCAATGAGGAATAACCATCTCCATCCAGAATGTCCTTGAACGCCACGCATGTGGAGCAATCCATACGCAAAGATCGCAGAAAGAATATCCGCGATACTCATGGCGGTCCAAAAGAAGCCAAGTCTCAGCGATAGCTCGTGATGCTTGTAGAAGTACGACAAATAGAGGATGATCTAGTCATTGGATGTTAGTTGGGAAGACTTCATGGGAAGTCAGTTGGAACGGGTAGAGACAGCTTACATCGGGGATGAATCCCCCCTGAAGCAGACCCAGCAATGCACGGCAGGCAAGGAATGAGTCCCTTCCGTTGAGCCAGAACTGACAACTGGCTACGATACTCCAAAGGATCATCTGTGCAGGGATCCAGCGATCGGGGCCAACCCATTTGGAAACAAGCTGAGATGGCAACTCTGCGCAAAGAAACGCAAGCTTGAAAGCGGTGTTTCCGAGGTTAAAGTCTGTGAGCTTCGTCAGTGATTATCCATTTGCGACACCAATACTCGTAGTTTACGACGTACCATTGGTGCTCATCTTCAGATCACCCAGCATATTATCCGTGTTTGCTATGATAGCCACGTGTTAGACCTGCAATTGCGGATGTTGATATGAATCGAGCGCACCTTGGCTGATATTTGCTCGATCCAGTTCAAGCGCCATGAACATGATACATGCCCATATCATAATACGTATATCGATCTTTCGAACTTTTCTCAGAGTTAATAAAGCACAAGCACACCGCAAGTAAGGTAGTTGGGAGAAAGGGTAACTTTACTCACCCAAAGCATACTCCTCGGCCCATGTCCATCGAGCAAGAGGGTCAAAGCGATGGTAGTTCTCCCTGTACGATATTGAACGGATTAGAAAGGATCCGTTTTGCGATCTGTATTTTGGGCATTCTCAAGACTTACCAGTCTTCTCGTGGATGATATTTTTCGGCCGAATCTGGGTCGTCAAAAACACTCGGCTTTATGGTAGAGTTAGCGGTTTCTCAAAACGCGCATCTAAACCCAGGCTTCTGCATACCTGAGTAGCTACGGCGAAAGGGTCGAAATCTTTGTTTCGCTGGAACCAAAACCGTTTCTCCTCAATGGGAGCCCCGAGAGCCGGGATGCCTTCAAGAGATACGGCAGATTGGTCTGCCTCCCCCTTTTGGAAGGCGTTCTTTGCCAGGACGGTCGCCATGATTACTGACGATGATGTCGTCCTTCCGACTTGGTGTTGAGGCTGAGTGATGAGTGCCGGATATGATGTCTCCTCGGAGCTTCACCTCAATGCTATATAAAGCACTGTAACGAAGGAAAGACGGGTCGGCGGATCTCGTCAGAAATTTCGGGATCGTGGATCTCATCCGCCACCGGGACTTCACGTTCATGCTGGACTAGGTATGCTGCGATGGCGAATGCGATCCACAGTATCACGTTGTTGCAAGGGAGACAGGCGCAGGCGTCTTCTGCGGCAGTAGGGGTCTGGATCTCGGGCCCATTTTATCCATATGGCAATGCCCAAATACTTCCCAAGGGACTCGCGAGAGAAATTATCCTTGTTCTCGGGTTTCTAAAGGGTGTGTGGCTTGTCGGGGGGGAAAATAGACTTCCATATGCGGGAGAGCAGCTAATGAAGTAAGCCATGCCCGAACGGACGATCGGGAATGTCTCGACATCAACATGGTTGACCTACAACTACCAGTATTCAACGGGACGAACAGGAAGCCCACTATTTTCGGTGAGTGAGTCTCAAATTTGCCATCATTTCCATAGATATTGCCGTAGAAGTAACGGTGGAAATGCCTGTCTACATCAGCTCATTTCACCTCTCTGTTGTCCTCACCCTTGGGCAAACTCCATGTATGTACTCCCACTCGCAGGGAATCCTACAAGTTTCTGCAAATATCTGAAAGCGTATCACCCAGCGCGGGCGTCGGACGACAGGTTACCCTTTCAGTCTGAGCTCGCCTGCATCCTTGTCTGAGATGGGGTGGAGTGGGGGTAGCCATCCGAGGTCGCTGTGCAGAGTATCAACTCGCTCGGTCTGGATTATTCAGCTCACTAGAGAATAAGAACCGATGAACAAAAGCAAGCGCCGCTATCGCAAATGTTACGGCTGTTTAATGATTATTCAGAGGTCCCTTCGAGTCTGAGTTGGGCTGCGTTCTGCGAGCTCGCCATAAGCCAGGGATCTGACGCAAGACACCACTCCAGACCCTTATCAATGCAGTTAGGTTCAGACTCAACTGCGCAAAATAACATCCAAAACCACATCAAATACTATCATCTATCCATTAATCATTCTGATGGAATATCTGCTAATTCTTGTGAATATGAATATCGTCACTTATTGGAGTGCGGGCTGACAAAGCATCTACGCGGGCTTGCATCAGCTTGCCCCCACGGAAACCACCAGCCAGCAGCAGTTCAAACTAATGCATATGCTAGGTATTCTGAAGTAGAAAGTTCTCCTTCTAATCGAGGAGCTGAAGGTTGCTCATGAAAGGGTTGTTCAAGAGGTGAAATAGGCGAGCAATCATTGGCCAATCCGGTGGGACGAAACCTTGATCACATCATTCTTGCCGGATCCACGCCATTGTGTAAAGGGGGTGATCGATCACGAAATGGGTTCGCTGTCTTTCACCATCCCAAAGCGCCTCTTAACCTACGACCTGTACATAGAATGCGGGGAATACCCGAGCGATTGACTCTCACCGGATGTCGCTTTATCGGGAGTTCAAAGTCGTAACCGCCGACAGGATGTCGCGATAGCTTGCACCTCACTACTCCGCATCATGAGCGAGCCGGCCGACTTATAAAATGGCATTGTTTACGCCGGTTGGGAGAAGAAGAAAAAGCAAATTGAGAGACAAAACGATCGATCGCATATACCATCTGGATTCAAAATTTGAAGCATTCCGTCAGCTGAAATCATGGCTCCTACAGCTATTGACACCGAGGTACCTCTTCATACCAGCACCAAGACCTCACTTCCGACCCCACTGAAGTCATCGAACTCATTGGAACAATATGAGTCCTTTGATGTAACCCCGAACATTGGTCGCGAGTTCCCAAAGGCAAACCTGGCTGACTGGCTCAATGCCCCCAACGCCGACGAGTTGATTAGAGATCTTGCCATCACAAGTAAGTCGCTGCAGTCAGGAATGAGTGTGAAGCGGCGAATGTAACTGACTGTGTGGTCCAGTCTCGCAACGTGGTGTCGTCTTCTTCCGTGCTCAGGACAACCTGACCAATGATCTGCAAAAGCAACTAATCCTCCGATTGGGAGAGCTCACCGGCCGACCATCCGACTCCGGACTCCACATCCACCCGGTCCTTAACTCGGAGCGGGAACTGGGTGGGGCTGACCCGGAGATCAGCACTATCAGCTCTGTGCAGCACAAGAAGATCTACCGCAAGCCTCTGGAAGGTGAAGAGCTTAGCCCAAAGAAGCAGTCGACTGCACAATGGCACAGTGATATTGCGTTTGAACCTGTCCCGGCCGACTACTCATCTTTGCGCCTCGTTGAGCTCCCCAAGACTGGCGGCGGTAAGTAGAGCACGCATGATAGGTCTCGAAGTCACCGAATTGAAGCTAAAACAGCACAGATACTCTTTGGGCATCCGGATATGAGATTTATGACCGCCTCAGCACTCCATACCAGAAGTTCTTGGAGAGCCTCACGGTCACTTTTGAACAGCCTGGCTTTGCAGCCGCTGCCGAGCGTGGCGGCTTCAAGCTTTACGATAAGCCGCGCGGCAACCCGAAGAACATTGGCAGTATTCTCAAAGCTGTCCATCCCGTTGTACGAACGAACCCTGTCTCGGGTTGGAAGAGTGTCTTCCCTGTTGGCGGCCACGTGAAGCACATCAACGGCGTGACGGCGGAGGAGAGCAAGCACCTGTTGGATTGGTTCCTGGATATCTTGCAAAAGAACCATGATATACAAGTCCGTCTCAAGTGGCAAAATGCTAATGACATCGGTAAGTTGCTTAATCTGTGACTATGGATGGATGTGCAAGTAACTAAAGAGAATTGCAGCCATTTGGGACAACAGAAGCACATTCCACACAGCAACCTTCGATTATGATGAACAAGGAGAAAGATTTGGAAACCGGGCGGTCGGAATTGGTGAAGCGCCTTACCAGGACCCCAACAGTAAGGGACGTCGTGAGGCATTGGGACTCTCCTATGTGACCGGACCTTGAACATGAGCTACAAAACTGTCAAGTACTTATGATATCTTGGACCTGAATATGATGATTAAAGCACACATAGGTGAAGCTAGTTGTCCGAGACATCGTTGGATAGACAGGGTGGAATGCACAGTCCTGCGACTCCTCAAGAATACCCCTACTACAATTCTCCGGGGGGTCCTAGAAAAAGGTCTAGTCTGTAAGCCTTCAAAGCGTTCCCTCATACGCGTGTGCTCGTGACTCAGCGGTTAACGTTAGTCTGCGTGAGTTAGTCAACGAATCCTTACGACAGGTTCGGCAGAAGCACCGACCTTGACTGCCGATGAGACGAGCTACTTGCATCAATCTCATGTATTATGCATGAAAAGCTGACGTCACTCGTCTTCAACTTGTCGCATTAGCGCATACGATTAGATCCTGAATGTCCAGCATAGCAGAGCGCAGGTCTTTTTAATTTTGTTCGCGGGAAGTAGTCCTACAAATTCGTTCTTAGATGTAGCATTTGCATGCCCTGAAGGTGGAATTGCATACTAATCTTGTACAGCAAGTATGCCTAGCGGCATCGCCCCATAGGCTTCATAGTACCCGGTCCAAGTCTCTCTAAAGCTGCTTCTCGTTCTCCTTGCCCTTTGCCTCCTTCGGTGTGCTGATACCAATACCGAGAACAATCAGGATCCGAACCAAGACCATCGGCGCCGTCGTGAAGAAAGCAACGTAGTCCTCGACAGTCCACGTGGATCTGTCCAGCCAAATCTCCCAGCCCCCGACGGCTTGCGCAGTACCGTGGCAGAAAGCAGCGTCGCTCAGAAGCATACCCGCACAGAGAACGCGCCAGAGAGTGAGGTCGTCGAATACCCGCATGACTACGCCCTCGGTGAACGCGAAATGTAGCCAGCCGCCGCCAAGCTGCGTGTAGATGAATTGCGTGTTGGGTTCGTATGCGAAGGCGTTACGCGTCATTCCGGCGAGGTATTGATTCGGTGTGTGAAGAACCATGACGGCGCCGAGCAGCGCGAATACTGGCTCGAGGGTCATAATGATGAGTCGGTAGATGCCTGGGACTACGGCGGAGCCCTTGATTGTGATCCGTTGAGAGGCCATGGTGTTCCAGTCGTCAGATGCAGTCCGCGAGAAGAGAGTCCCGTGATTCTTCGATGGATGGGGTGATAGTATTTTCGCGTCTGAGAATTTCGCGTCGCAATGGCAATTTGATGTGTCGTGCAGGGCAGCAAATGCAAGTTTGGGGTGAGAATTGACCGAAAATGCGATGAAAGACGCAGCTTTAGCACTACTAGATTGCATGAAAGAAATACGTGCCGGTCACTAGCTTTATCAATCACTGATTGTCGAAGCTTATCCCAGCTCAATGAAACACGTACTCGGATGCGCCGGCTGCGGGGTGACTAGATTCCGAGACGAGCAGTGCCATTGACCCTAGCTTGTATGAAGCTGCTGAAGGGCACGCACGTCCAATGTTCAGTGAACTATGGACTACATAGTGCAATTTGAGCATGAGTGCAGAGGCCAACAGTTGGTTGCTTGCTACGGCTAGGACTGCTTGATGATCCTGACTTCTTACTTGTGTTTCGTGATACAAGGCGGGACGCGGTCTTCTGCTGCGAGAGGTGCAAGGCCTGACCGATTGTATCATCCCGAAGTGAGACGGCTTGCTTACGGCAGAAGCCTTACAATAGTGAACATGTAACGGGTTGAAAGTTCCTCCGACTTCTTTGAACTAATGTGTCCATGGCCTGTGCGGTTTAAAGTTTGACATCGCTTGGGACTCCAAATCTCGAAGATGAGCGAACAACTAGCCAGTTGAGTAACCGTACGGTGTCTCTCTCATCATACTCGTCCACCTACAAGCTCATCATCTCTTTCAGTTCATGGCAGAGTCAAATTGTAGCAACGCTGGCCTTTTTCATTTATCAAAAAGCCAAACATCACCAGAGAGGCTATGGAGGCAACAGGCTGTGTCTCAGTTGCATGTGGATCCATCATGAAAGTTTCGGCTCCCACTTGAACCATTTCTACCGAAATGATCTGGCTGAAAGCGAGAATTATGATGGCTGGTTGCGAAAGGCCTGTGCGAACCAGTTGTCTCTACGTATTATTATTGGAAAAGAAAAATGGAGGGGGAAAACTTGGAAAGTGCTGGAGAGCCCACGACACTCAATTATTTCGAGTAAGAGAAATGCTGGAACCTTCCGCTCGCTATCCTGTATGCATAACGTGAGAATCAATCGTGCTCTGACCACAACAAAGGGGCTCATCGATCCACAGTCTGATTCAGGTCTGGGACTTCAACACCAACTGACTGGCCTGAGACTTGGTGTGGGTAAGGGGTGTCAGACCATCAAGAGCTTGATGCGCATGGCTTGTGCATGCACAGAGAGACAATGATATGGCTTGAGCATTTGTGAGGGAGGCGTCGGGCATTCCCTATAAAATTAGCACTCTACACATATGGAAATCCTGTGCAGTCTTTCGTAGATAGCTGGTGAATGAATTGCAGCTTATGATATTGATAGTAAGCTGACGATCCTTGGTCGCGACTATCGTCTAGACTAGAAGCATCTCTCATACTACTGGCGATGATTTAGGGTATTAACCACCGTACTGGATGACCGTATTGACGCTCTACTTCTTGTCGGTTTTGTCAATTTCCCCAATGCTTTCATTTCCTTCAGGATGGAATTCCACTTGTCCAGATTCCAAAGTTGTCTCTCCATCCTGAGATCCTCGTTTCTGTTCTCGGAAGACTAGAAGGCGGATACCAACCACTGCAATGATTGCGGCGATTATGAAACCAAACGTTGCAGGAAACCCGTATCCTGAACACCAAAAAGTCATTAGTAGTCGTTCGTGCATAGAGCTCAAGGATGGCCAATCAAGAACGTGCTCCTGCAAGTTGTAACTGATACTTGATGCTCGCGACTGTTGATAGAGACAAAGTAAACGTCTTCGAGAACTCACTAAAGGTTGGAGCCATGGTTTGCGGGAAAATGACAAGGGGAAGCCATGCGTCGACGGCATATTGCATTCCATTCATACTACTGATGACCAAAGCGCGCTCCTCATTGTCGCCGGCACATATTTCATTCGCCCAAGTGTAGCTGAAAAATGGCTCGTCAGCCAGGAATCGGTCTGAGATGTAATATTGCATGATGTCCAGGGCAAAGACTTACAAAACCGCCGTCATGAGATGCACACTGCTCGTCAGGAAAGCAAACAACTTCAGCTGCACGCTTGGCGGCCAAAAAGCCAAGATGCCGTTTGGGATCAAGGCCAGCACCTACGAGGATGTCAGACTCAATCACGCTGCAGAGAAGTTCTTGATCTTTGGGATCGTGGCGTACCAATGGGCAGATGATCAATGCAAAGCGGCTTCCCGTGTAGTCCGACAGGAACCCCCAGAGAATGATACAGAAAGCACTGATGAGCTTTGAGCCGGTTGGGATGACGTTCCTGTCTACAACCGAAAATTTCTCTGCCTTGAGCCAGATGGCGAAATATCCACCCGACTGGCAAGATTCACCGTAGAGCTGATGGTAGGTTAGGTCTCTGTAATTAATACACATGATGCCGCGTTTGAATAGGAGTGGCTTCTTACGACGTAGCCCAAGACAAAAGCGTACCACCTCCACTTCAAAAGGACTCTTTTGAAAGTAGCCAAGGTGACTCCTGCAGGTGCCGCTTTACCAGCCTTCGTTACTCGATCAATGGCTAGCTCGCATTCTTTGGCGGTCAGAAACTTCGACTTGGTCGTGTACGGTGTATCCGGTAAGACGAATAGGGTCGCAACGCCGACGGGAATCGTCATGCACTGCCACATAAGATTAGCAACTTTGTCCAATTCTTGTCCAATGCCGACTTGAAGAGGCAACTTGAAGTAATCTCACCCCGCAGACGATGTACAACCATCGCCACCCTGCGTGGCCATGAGCACCGTCTAGGCTCTTGTAAACTGCTGCTTGCAGGTATCCACCAAAAGCCGATCCAAGAGGAGCTGTCATATGAAATATGGCGACTCTCTTTGCAAGCTCAGTCTTGGTGTACCAACTTCCAAGTACATAAAGTAAGACAGGAAAGAAAGAGCTTTCAAAGAATCCGACAAGGAAGCGAAATGCGTAGAGCTGACCAACGTTCTGCGTCCCTGCCTGGGCAAATGTAAAGATACCCTGAAGAACGATAGTGTCAACATGCTTGCGTGTTTGAGATCTCTCGAGAGGGGCAAGACATACCCATCCGACTTCCATTGCGGCCAACCAGATGCTCGGCCTAATCTTCTGAACAATCAAAGTACTTGGAATTTGCATCACAGCATAGGCGCATGTGTAAACCATTTGAGCATACGTATACTCATTGGCAAACATCTTGAGGTCCTCCTGCATTCCTGAGACGTAGGCGTTTGCGAGGTTTCCCTGGTCGAGATACTTCATGAAGAAGCCTAAGCATCCTATAGTCAAGATTGACCAATCCAACTTGCGAAGCAATACACGCTCCTCATGACTCTTCAGGTGCGTATCCGTGTCCCAGATGAAAGAGCGAAATGACCGCGAGGGCGCATTTGAAGGCTGAGGCGATGATTCTGCCATCGTGGACGTTCGGAAATAACGCCTTGAGTAAAGTTGAAGTTGAAGGTTGCAGATCAAAGTCAACAGCCGCAGAACTCAGCAGGACGCAACTGCCTTTAGTATATGCTCCTCACCCTCCACTGATGTGCCAACTGAATGATATCTCTGCACGCAAATATGCAGACATGCACTGATAGCACGGAATGGCCACTAATAATGATCAACACGGACATGCAAGCCAAAAGTAGAAAAGTCCAAGTGCCGCGGCTCGGGCGACAGATTGATGCTCCCGTCTCATTGAGAACATCTTGCAGAGCAAACCGGCGTCGTACTGGAGCCATCGGGGTCATTCCGACGAGTTTGGCCAATAGTAGTTGAGATGGGATCGCGAGGGATGATAAGGCGACAGAGGCAGGGGGCGATGACGAGCTCAGCCAACCACCCGGACGCTTTCCGGGGAATAAGAATCTCGGAGGGTTTCTACCGCCGGAATTAAAACAGAGAAGCCTAAATATGCTGGGCTGATTGAGTGGTTCTGCACGCGGTCTTCTATTCCTGCACGTCAGGAAGACTTCATGGTTATGTTGAGGCCGGGCGGAGGACATCGCTGAATCTGAAAGTTCAATCTACTAACGAAGATGGCCAAGAGACATTTGTGCTCGACAACGTTGATTCTTCGCCGGTTTGGAAATAATTCCTGATTTCACCCTCAAATGGCACAGGTTAGTGAGTGTCTATTGCACGGTGAAGAGAACAACAGAAATTTAATAGAAACCTACTGGGAACTCTGTTCGTTGCGAAAGCTATGGCTACCTATTGAGGGTGAACAATGGTTTACCTAACGTGCTAACCTCCCATCATCGGTGGAACAGGTAGATCTCCTCTTTTTAGACACCAAGTGGGTGGTCGAGGAACCACCAATGGACCAGGGTCTTTTAGCTACTTAGAAGTTAGAGTATCGAGATGTTGGACCATAAATTTCCAAGTGTCTCACCACGCGTCTGAACGTCGGAAATGGCGACTTGGTGTTTAGAATACCTAGTTCCTCACCACGAGGCATAAGGCGTTTCAATCACTCTGTATAGGTAAACGTTGTTTGAACCACTCAATCAAGCCTTTTTGGACGTTATCATAATGACATTAATATTATGTAGCTATACTACTTGCTATTTGGCTCGCTCAGTAAACGTTGTGCTCGCCGTGGGAGCAGCTCTTAGCATGCTCAGCCTGCTCAGAAGCCAATGCCCACTTCTGGAACTCGCGGCGAATGGCATCACGGCTGCGACGAGCAGGAGTGGTGGTAGCACGGCGAGGCAGACCAGCGGGGAGTTCGTTGGCGAAGTCAGCGGCCACACGGGCAGCGGCCTTGGCGTTGATGGTGAGAGCGTCCCAGTTAATATTGTCGAGGGTATCGCAGGCCAAGTGGTAGCATGGGTCGGTGGGGGCGCCGGCACCGGTGAAGATTCCGGAAGAGGGGATACCGAGCTGGAGGAAGCCGACGTAATCAGAGCTGGAGCCGAAGCCACCGAAGGCAGCGGGCTTGCCCTGGGCCGCGATGTAGTCGTGAATAGGCTGGGCGCCGAACTTGTCACCCTCGTTGTCTCCGAGGTAGACGTTGTAGACGGGGTTGATGGAACCGATCATATCGTAGTTCCAGTAGAAGCGGATAGCATCGGCCTCGGCCTCAGAAAGCTGGGCAGTGTAGTAGAGAGATCCGACGAGACCGGACTCCTCGGCACCCCACCAGATGAAGCGAACCTTGTTCTTGAAGCCGCTGTACTTCTTGAAGGATCCAGCAATCTCGAGAAGAGCAGTGGTACCGCTGCCGTCATCGTTGACACCGGGTCCGGCCTGAACAGAGTCCAGGTGAGCACCAAGAACAATCACGTTGTTGGGGTCACCCTCCTTGGTCTCTGAGATGATGTTCCAGGTCTCGCGCTCATCCCAAATGGCATCGACGAGAAGATTGACCTCGAGAGTCTCGCCAGCAGCCAAACGCGCCTTCCATGCAGTAGCATCCTCAAGGGGAATGAGACCCACGGGCACTAGCAGACCCAGGTTCTCAGCGCTGAGGGTGGCAGAGCCAATGTCCTTGCCCGGGGTCTGGTTGTACAGAATAACACCAACAGCACCGGCAGCCTTAGCGAGCTTGAGCTTATCAGCAATGGCGCAAACACCACGCTTCACAAGAGCAAGCTTGCCAGTGGCATCAATGCCAGCCCACTGGTCAGCGAAGCAGCCAGAGCCTATGTGTGGTTCAATCAGTTATTGTCGCAATGACTCAGTTGATAGATTCCTCCTACCTCTGGTGTCATCGACGGGAGTGTCAATGAGAGGGGCCGTGTCACCGCCGGGGAGAGTTGTCGGGTGGTTGTATTGAAGAGCGACGACGTAGACATCTTCACCGTCCGGGCCGGTAACACTGATCTCACGCGTTTGGGAGAAGGTGTGGTTGAAGTATTGGACCTTGGTGTCGAGCTGCTTGTAGAAGCGGCCCTGTACACGCTCGAGGATGTAGTCAGAGGAGGCCTTGTAACCAGGCAGACCGAAGGCTCGGTTGCCGCCGTTATCGCGGGCAATCTTATTCAAGTTCCAGAGGTTGCGCTCGAGCCTGGTGATATCACGTTAGACGTCTGCATAGACTCCAATTGAGGTACGGAAGACTCACTCCTCGGTCTTGATGTCAGCCTCAGCCTTATCTGCTGTGAGGGGATCGGTTGCGAAAGATCGTAGCGCAAACAGCGCAGCGGCGAGGGCGGTGGCGGTCTTCATCGCGTATGGAAGCTATTCCCAACCGCTAATTGAGGCACGAGATGATTGTCAATGGCTTCTGGAGAATCTTAACGAATGGACTAATCAACAGAGAAGACAAGCCATTTACGCCAGCGGCATGGCGGAGACATTTATATGCTCCGTGTCTACGCCTCCTCGGCGCGCCAAGAGCGTGGATACGGCGAAAACAAAATTGCGCGATAAGACGACATGCAGTGACACAGCATCGTGGGCAGCGGGGGAGTTGACGAGCTCGGTTCGTGCTGGCGCATAGCAGTAGACCTACGCAGGGGGGAGACGTTTGCCGTGTTTACGGTTGGCTCGCCGCAGGAACCTAGGTGTGGCAGGGTTGGATAGCTTCGCAACGTCGTAAAGATGCTCAGAGTGGCGGGACAAAATTCGGCTTGGATGAATTGCGTCCAAGGGTCTGGTAGGCCTGCTTCTTGGCCGGCACCTTTACTGAGGCATCGATGCGTCGCGGGCGATGCTACCTCTGGCAGGTGAACGATGTCGGGTGTTCTTGGCAAGTACTTTTGCTAGAATGAATTGCGCATGTTGGTCTAAGGTTAAAGCCCAATCCTCAACCGATGCCAATACTAGGACGCGGAGAGCAGGTCAATAACTGGGGGCGACGCGGAGCAGGCGTAGAGCTTGAAAGAAGCACGGAAGAAGTGGAAATGCGACAAGCTCTGGGCTACCGGCGGATCTTTCCCCTCTAGACTCTGTGGATCATCGTTGCTTTATCGGGCAGGTGCCAAGCCTTACGAGAGGGGCTTTTGTCGAGAGTGGCTGAGAGAAACAAGTCTAATCGGACCTTGGGCCGTTGAATACCATACCTCTCTGTCCCCTTCTCTCCGAATGCCGCCAGAAAGTATTACGAGAGCCATAAAGTTACTTTTGAAGCCTCGATATTTATTTCTTCGTCAAGCGCTCAAGGCTGATTTGGCCTTTCGTGACTTGTCTAGTCTCCGGCTTTCAAAGGACGTATGAATGTGAGTCTTGCACGGATCACATTGACAATCATCCGCGAATTGCCGCTCGTAAGCCTCTCGCGTGTGTGCCTGCATGCTGCAGCTATAGCGTTGCACTGCAGTCGAGGCCTAGTGAGCTCAAGAACATCGTGTCACTGTGAAATGGGTGTTGGCCCAAACTCCAAACCCATCCTCAAGGCGGCAGGGTCATTGGTATGTAGGGTGGCAGGTCAGTGGTTTTCACTGACGCATCCCCAAGAACCGAATTGAGCCCGTCAGTCCAGCCGTTCAACCTCTTCCCATTGGCCCTGACGAATAGTTTGTCGAATAAATGCGATACTTGCCGAAACCTTCCAGCAGTGCGCCGCAAATTTCCCAACTTCTTTTCAAGACCGAGATTGACCCTGGCAATGGGGCGCTGGGCCAAGATGACGGGAAAGGCATGTGCTTATGGTTGGATGCCGGCTCAAAGACTTGGCAACGAGCAATGCAATCAGTTGTCTTGGCGAAGCGGGGAGTTGCTGATTGATGCGATAACATCCATGGCCGGGCGTGCTCTGCCATCTTGCTTGATCGCTTGAGTCCTGACTGCCATGTTCCCTGTAAGGTTTCTCTTCGGAGATGGCGATCGGCCCCACGCCAGGCTAATCATGTAGCGTCACACGTGAGTGGGATGCCGGCCCGGCAACCTTCGTTAGTCAAAACTCGGTAAATGGCGTAGAATCAATTGTTGGGGCTGGAGATATTAATAATGCTTAACTCGATGTTCTCTCCTTCCAGACTTGATGCGTTGAGATCAGAAAGAAAAAAGTCCTGACTTATATCTAAAGTACTGAAGTACCTTAGGCAAGTCAATTGAAGTACGGTATATGATAATACTCAAGGCTCTGAATTACCAATGTGTTGGCAGTCTCGTTTATTGAAAAGTCACATAACTTTCTCCTCTCAGCTAACTCAAAACTTTGCGTAAATCCACTGGTTCCAATATTCCAGCCCCAAAGAGAATCATTTGGCAAGTTCAAGTGGAAATAAGCTTCAAGGCGGCTATAAACGATTCTGCGATGACTCGCATTTGCTAGCGCCCAAGATCTCGGGTCATGTTGGCTTGGAATTCGAGGACCTTGATGGTCGCGCCCCGGGGATTATCAGACCCGGTCCATTGAGACGTGTTGATTTTCCCTAGGTACTGTCCGAGGTCACAGTGGAGTTCGAGCCGATCTTTGATCACTCGCTTCTCGGGTAGATAAGTCTAGCGGCCTTGACGTTGGTTCGCACTTT